ATGCGCTCGTTTATTCATCCTATCAACAGATGCTTATTGACACCTACTATGTGTCAGGCTTTGTGAGGCTTGATGTCCCTCTACAACTGCCAGCCCAAATAATTGTCTAGCTGCTTCTTGATTACCTCCACTGATGGTACACTCACTACCTTTCAGCTTTTTTTTTTTTCATCAGAAAATTCTCCCTCATGTACAGTAGCGGGAAAAACTGAGCTGAAACAGATCTAGATTCAAATCCAAGTTCTGTCGCTTACTAGATGTTGGGCCTGGGCAAGCCACTTTACTGATCTGTTAAATGAGAGTAATAATACCAGTCACTGTGCAGAAGACAAATGAGATCAGCCAGTCACTGAGGGCTCGGGCAAGACTGTCGCCCAGTGGTCATCCGAGTGACGTTTTGCGATAGATGGACTAGCAGGAGGAATTCCAGCTGTGACCTCATTTGATGCTCACTTCCAGTCATTTGGGAGCTAAGCAATGGTAGCAATGCCATTTTACAGAGGAGAAGACAGACTCAGAAAGTGAACTCCCAGAGTGGCATGAACAGTGACAAAGGCTGGACTGGATGCAGTGTGGTGTTTCTAAAACACAAGTCTAACCCTGCCATCCTCCTGCTAAAATCCTTCAACAAACCATTCTTCTAGACCTCAGCCCAAAGCAAGGCATTCGAGGTCTTCCTTGATGTATGCTGTGCCTTGAACCCATCCTCATCCTTCCTAGCCTTCACCTCCTCCTGCCTGCACCCTGCACCCTACACTAGGCTCTCCAGGCTCCAGGCCCTGGCACACGTTGCCAGCTCAGTGCCTGTGCACCTGAGGGTCCTTGTGCATTGGGTGCCCTCTCCTCCTTCCTCACCGATCTATTCCCACCCGCTCTTCAAAACCCACTCCCAGCGCCTCCTGTCTTGGGAAGCCCTCTTTAGCCCCAGCACACACACAGCCCAGCCACTCCCCTGTCATCCCACAGGCAGGTCTGCTTGGTTCTCACACTGCATCCCCAGCACCTAGTGCTGCACCTGACACAAAACAAAAGCTGACTACAGATGTGTTGAATAAATAAATGAAAGGGAGAATAAATAAATGAAAGGGAGAATGAATAAATGAGTGGACATCATCGTTATAGCATTGATTGCACTGAATTGTGATCATTATTTATGTGTCTATTGGCCTCACTAGGTGGAGAGCCAGTCAGGGGCTCTGTCTTATGCACCTTCGTCTCCTTTCAGCCTGGCACAAAGCCTGTGCATAGTAAGGATTTAAGAATTCTCTGTCCCTAGAATGACTCAGTCAGTGTGCACATCCCCAGCTGAACTGTTAGTGCTGGAGGGCGGAAACCGCCCTTGTGCCAGTCATCTGCTTTCCCTCGTGCTCACACAGAGAGGCGAGGCTTGGTCGATTATCAGGAGTCTGGACTCACTAGTGGCCTGCAGACACATACCCTAAGTATGTGTCCATGCTGGACATACCCCAGGTATGTGCCAATGCTGGACAAGGCAGCTGGTGCTCAGAGGCTCACACACCACCCAGCAGTCCGCAGGCCCTGAAGTCCAGAGGTTTTTCCCCTGCACAGATCTTGTCCAGCACCTTCTCCCCTGGCCTGAGTCTGGGAGGTTTTCTACCACTAGATGGTGCCAACTGCAAAGGCTGGCTCAGCTGACTGCCCACAGCCCTTCCTCCTCTGCCCAGGGATGTCATAAGGGGCTCCCCTGTCCAAGGGAGGACTTCTCTGCAGCTTCCCCTAACCAGCTGTGTGCCCTGGCACCTCCAGGCACTCAGAAAGGAAGCTTCCTTCTGGGCATCTTTAACTTGGGTTGTAGACAGGATGGATAGTGATCCCAGGAGTGGGATACCCACCCGGTTCCAGCCCATTCCAGCTCAGCTCAAAGTGTCCAGATCCCCAGCTCTGTTCTGGGCACAGTGGGGTCAAGGAGGACGCACAACCAAATGGGTGTAAGAGGAGACAGACTTCTGTGTGCCATGTGACATGTGCCAGGCTCTACCTAGTGTTGCCACATCCACAATGCCCCTTCACCCTTCCAACTGGCCCCAAAGGGAGGTGAGCATGATTGTGCCCATATCACAGATGGGAATGCTGAGGCTCAGAAAGATGAAGATGCTGTTCCAAGGCCACATGGAAAGAACTTCTGTCGGACTGTTTCAGGTTGCATGTTCTTTTCTTGACACTCAAACTTAGTGCCCAGAGGAGAGGCTCCGGTACATGATGCCTTGAATATCAAAGATATCAAAGCCCTTTTAGCCAACAATCCCCCATCCATCCATTTCACCATTCAACACATATGAAGCCCTACTGTGTGCCCTGTGGTGTGTTTCAGGCGCACAAGAGATGCAAGGCCCAGGCTCTGCCCTTTCCAAGTTCACATTCCAGTGAGAGAGGCAAGGGCAGGGAAGGCTTCCTGGAGGCGAGGGCATCTTTATTTCCTCTGCCAAGAGCATGTCCTGAGTGTGGCTCTCAGAGATGGTCTGCTAGTGCTCGTGAGGCTCTGAGGCTTCTAGACTCATGGCCTAACAAGGAAACGTCTCTCCCCAAAGTCAAAAAGAGGTGTGTGTGTGTGTGTGTGTGTGTGTGTGTGTGTGTGTTTACTGATTTGGAAATATAGGGGTTTTCTTGCATCCTGTTGTGTTTTTGAGGAAACACAAACAAGGGCAGGCTAACTAGTGCCTCCTAGGTGAATGCCACCCAGCACTGCCAACCCCAAGAGCTCTCTGTTCCCTACCAGCAAGGCCTTCCGAGGCCACGTGGCCCACAGAGCCTTCCTCCCTGCAGGGGGCCGCAGGCAAGATGTTTTTTGCCCTTCTGATGTCTGGGCCATTACAGAGAAGCTACCCGTATGTTCCCAGTGAAGACTGGCACTGTGCAGGCACTCTGTGGGGGCCTGCCCCACCCTGCCCTCACCCCATGGAGTTCACACGCATTAACCTCCAAACACACACAGATATCTAATTTCTGAGGCTGCCTAGCGACTTAAGGGAAAGCCAGGCACACGCAGGTCAGCGAGTCAGGAGAGTCTGCCCAGAGAAAGGGGCCCCAGGTTAAAAAGATAGGAGGGCCTCTCAGCCACAGGGAACTGCATCACAGTGGCCTTGAAGTAGGGAAAGGGTGGATTTGCCCAAGTCCTGAAATTAAGCTTAAAGTCGGGTTTTGTCTGTTGACTTGCAAGGGCTTTATTTATTGCATCAATATTTACTACATTTATTATGCGCCAGGCTCAGAGCTTAGACAGACTAATTCAGAAATTCATCTGAACCACTTTCCTTGTCCCTGGTCCTTCAAGGTGCGAGAGTGGACCCCACTCTCCTGGGCAGAGCAATTACTGCCCTGGTGTTCAGAGAGCTTCCATTCCTCCTTGGGATGCCCAGCACTTTGCACAGTAAATCCCTCGAGTTGTAGTAAATCACCTCTAATACTTGCCTCTCCCATAAGCTGTGGATTCCCTAATCATAGGGACTTTTAAAACTTATCTCCAAATGTCTAAAACTTAAGAGAGACTATGACCTACCTCTGCGAATGTTTGTTGAGTGAACGAAAGAACCCAGAGGAGGCAAAAGTAAAAGCTGTTGCAATGAGAGTTAGGAGATTAATGTGCACCTTGGCCTTGCTGTGAACTGTGTCATCCTGGGAGTGTCCATCTGTCTCTTTGGGTCTTGCTTTCCTCCCCTGAAAAGGAGGAAAGAATTTGTCTGAATAGCTCAGCACCAGAACCTGGTGTTCAGAGTGGAAAGCAGATCTGTAACCCCACAAAGCAGGTTCCTCTGCTTCCAGATGGAGGAAGCAGCCCAGAGCCCAGCCAGCCCCCTGCCCCAGCCCCACAGAAGCCCTGGTTTCTCCCTGCTTACTTCGGAACTCAGGCGTCAATGATGGGAAATGCTGGGCAGGATGCTCCATGGCCTGCCCAGGAGTAGGAGGACTGACTCAAAGCCTGGCTCCAGCCCCCGCTCCTGTGTCTTCAGGCGATTCTCTTCCTCTCGTAGACCCAGGTCTCCTTTGAGATCGAGCAAAGGGCACAGATGGGATTCAGGGGGTCAACCAGATGGGACGGCAGGTGATGGGAGCTGGAAATAGTGGCAGCTTGAAGCTCCTGCACTCAGACACCCAGGCATCTCCATCTGCCGTTCCTCGGGCCTGGGCAGCTCTTTGGACCTTGGTTTCCCTTCCCAGCTGGCCTGTTGTTATGTTCATCATATTTGCCAAAATAAAGATGAAGCCGTTGGCTGGGGGTTGGGAATGGGGATGCTGGGGAGGAGTGCCGGTTGGTAGCATGGAGTGTGTGTGTGTTGGGTGGGGGGTCTCGTTGCCCTGAGAACAAAATAAAAGGGCTCCTCCATGCAGGGCTGGTGCTGGCAAAGGAAGCGCAACTCACTCCCCAAGGGCTGGGGCCCATGCAGCTGCCAGGAGCTCTAAAACTGAACACCTGCCGCTGCACCACGCCAGCCCTTTCCGGATACTCAGAGGGGAAAAAAATAATAAAAGGTCAGCGGGCCGAAACTCGTGTTAAATAGGAGTCCTCTGACTCAGAGAGGCCTTAAGAACTCTTGATGAGTGACGGAACTGGCCCTGCAGGTCCTCAGAGAAGAGACATGGGATCCGAGCCCCACACAGCCACATGACTCACAACCAGCTTCCACCTGCTCAGGGCCTCGGCTTCCTCCCTGTAAACTGAGGCCACCTCACTTACCTTGGGGCTGCAGGGACAATCACTCAAGAAAGGAAAGGAGCAGGTGCTGAGGTGAAATTGCAGCCCCGCCGCTGACCAGCAGAGGGATTCAGGCAATTGGTTTAACTTCGCTGCATATTGGGTTCCTCTGTTCTATTTGTTTTATTGAAAATAAAGGAGATGTTTGGCTATCAAAAGCATGATAGAAAAAAATCATTTTCTGAAAACTTTTTGAACAGTATGAAGACAGGAATGCAATGGTAGGTCCCTTCGGGCATTGAAACCCCTGCCTCAGCAGCCCTCCTTCCCCTCTGCCCTTCCCCTGCAGGCCCTCTCTCCAGCCCCTACAACCATGGACTTTACCCCAGCTCCACTGGAGGACACCTCCTCACGCCCCCAATTCTGCAAGTGGCCATGTGAGTGCCCGCCGTCCCCACCCCGCTGCCCGCTGGGGGTCAGCCTCATCACAGATGGCTGTGAATGCTGTAAGATGTGTGCTCAGCAGCTTGGGGACAACTGCACGGAGGCTGCCATCTGTGACCCCCACCGGGGCCTCTACTGTGACTACAGCGGGGACCGCCCGAGGTACGCAATAGGAGTGTGTGCACGTAAGTGAGTCCCTCCATACCTTCTGACCAGCCCCTTAGCACCCCCAGCTCTGGCCCCAAACCCCCCTCCCTTGGCACCCCTACAGCCTTTCACCTGGCCAGGCTTCTGTTCAGCAGGAGATACACCCCATGGTCAGAGGCCAGAGGCTGGGCCCTACCTGGGAAGGGGAGGGAAGGGGAGGGAAGGATGCCTGCACTCATCTCGCCTCCAGAACTTTGCTTTCTGCTTTATTCTCAGTCCTGGAAGCACATTCATGGCTGTCCCCAAGGAAGAGGGAGACGCCATGAAATACCTAAGCCTGGTTTTATTCTCTTAGTGGTAGGACCTTTTAATGAATGCCCATGGCCTACCAGCACACACCAGCATACTATAGAACTCCAAATATTTTGGTAATATTGTAAATTAAAACAATATGGTTTTAAAAATCCAGTAGCCTTGAAAGAATGAAAACCAGTAGCCTGCAGTCATCCCTTCCCACCAGCTACCTACATTTCTCAGTTACTACAGTCACTTTAATTTTCTAGTTATTTCTTCTGATAGCTACTACTATAAAATACGCCTTCTGCTATATCTTAATTGCCTTGATATATCAATTTTTTATAATCTATTAATATTCTAAGATAGTTGATGATTTAGCTCCTCAGTACCACCTGATATATCCCTACCTTCCAAATAACATTGCCATAATTTTTGGTTATACAATCATCAGTATTTATAATATTATGACTATGTAAATATTGTTCACTGCAGTATGAGATCATGTACTTGTTTGAATTTCCTTCCTTATGATGCTTTTTGTTTTTCCTGGACTTTCTAATGGCCTTTGCTTTTTCTTTATTCTTGGTCTATTATGATATCCTCCTGTTTGGAGGTTGTTGTTGTTGTTGTTGTTGGTTATTGTTTTGTTTTCTTTGGTCTTCAAGTGCTCCATCATGGGTATTCTGTCCTTTTTTGTTCCAAGACACCTACTTTATGAAACTTTCTGACCTCCTGCTTCTGTCTGGACTTGTATTCCCTTGAATTGTGTAAGCATTACCCAAAATACGTGACTCATCAGATTCAGAGAGGTAACTAGGTATTATGATGCAGCAGCCTAACTTCTGAAAACTTCCACAAAGTCTCAAACCCAAAAGTTCCCTTCTTCCCTTAGTGCTGAATCAAGTCTTCCCCTTAACTATGACTCCGTATACACCCCATCACATAGTCACACACAATATAGTCTCTCATCCTCAGCTAACCATTATATTTTTTGAGGTGGATTGTCAATGAGGGTTATGCACGTTGTTTGAAGTCAAACAATTTTATTTTATCTGAACCTCATGGTTAATTTATGACAGTTTCTTCTCTTTTATCATTGGTTCATGCTTCAACTTTCACACCAATCCTTGTGTCTTTGTCTCTCTGTGAATAACCATCCCACTTCTCTCATCTTTCTAATTTTTCTTCTTTTACTGAAACTCGTTAGCAGCCACATAAAAGTTACGTTCAAAGAGAACTTGCAGCATCACCTGCTCAGAATCATCTGATGTGTTGGTTATAAATGTTATTCCTGAGCCCCACCCCAGACTTGTTGAATTAGAGTCTCTGGAAGTGGGAATGAGGATCCATTCCTTTAACAAGACTCCCAGATGATTCTCATGCATGCTAAAGTTCAATAACTTCTGCTAATACACTGTCAGTCATCTGTTCCCTCCCTATAACCCAGGTAGGGAAACCTGGTCTGGACTTCTTACACTAGAACCACCTCCAGTTATATAAGCCTGTCTCATAATTTATTCCCCCTGTGAAAACTGTTCTTCAAGGTCCTTAAAAAGATAATTCTGTTCACTGCCATTGCACTAATCTCTAAAGCTGTATTGAGATCTTGTCATCTGCCAAGCACCACTCATTTATAGATGTTCTGTCATGGATTCAAAGATTATGTGAACCCAGAAACGGCCTGTCCTGCCTGCCTTCCCCACTGGTGGCCTGGAAAACCCCCTTCCCTGTCCTCCTCACCCCCAATCTCTGCATCTTAGGTCCTGCCTTGACCCAGTACAGCCACTTAACTTCCCAACACCATGGGCTTCTGTGTACTTCCTTTCCTTTTATTTTAAAAAAACAAAAACTGTAGGGCAAAGGAGATTCTAATAGATTTTACACTTACCAATGGTTCCCTGTTCATGAAGTTTTGCAAGCATTGAGATAAATGAAACTAACCAGGAGCTATAGAAATTCTCAGAGGCTTCAAATGTTCATGTCCATTGCCAAATTCCAAAAGAGAGCTATCATAAGCTTGATAATAAATTTTTAAAATGTATTTAATACTAAATTTTTTCATTCAGATAGTTTCTCACCGACCCATTACACTACACACACACACATTTATACATATACACATCACACACATATATGTGCCCACACGTGCACACACACACAACTCACTAGTGCTCTATTGAACATGTTCCCAGAAGTACTACCATAGTGTCTGAATTCATGAGACCCTAATGCAGGAAAGAAGAGAGTGTGGGGTCTGCAAAAGAATACACCTCTGGGCCAGAGGGTAAGCAGAACAAAGGGTTCCTCTAAGAAACAGTCTTTCCGCAAATGGTCAGCTAAGCCAATGGACAGTTCCCAGGACAGGCTAATTCTGTCCTTGAAGATTTGCATGTAATTAGACCAGAACAAGGCAGGTAATAAAAATGAGCAATCGCAACCCTGGCTCATATAACTCAAACAGAGTATGATGGGTACAATGGCAATGTGGTGTGTGCAAGCCCTGGCTCTCAGAGATCACCCTACTGGGCCCAGCCACTGTGGCCAAGCAGAAAAAAGCTAGATCTTGTTCGGCATGCTTAGTTTTCAAGAGAATCCAGATATATGGATTTGTGTATGATTTGTAAACATTGGCAATAATTCAAAAATATTTTTAAAACCACTCTGTGGGCCAAACTAAATACGTCTGTGGGCAGAGGGTGATCTCTGAGTTACATCGTTTGGCTATTTCAGTTGCACAAACACTACTCAATGTTTAAATGAAGCTGGGTCAGGCCTGAGGGCAGTGTGGTTTGGTGGAAGGATTATGATATTTACAGGCTGACAGGCTTGGGTTTTAGATCCTGGCTCTGCCACTTGCTAGCTACGTGACCACATGCACATCACTTAAGGAGCTTGATAAAACCAACCCCACATGGTTGTTGCAGAATAAATAAGGAAATGCAAAAAAAAAAAAAAAAAAAGATTGACTGGTCTCCGGCTTGGCTTGCGAGGAAAGTTACCTCAGTCTTATTCACAGTCACCTTTAGAGGAGGGAGCAGGTCTAGCTCCCTCCCCTTCTAGTATGGGCCTAGATCCCCCATAGTGAAGAGTGAGGGAGTAGTAAACTCATGCAGGCTCTTCGGACCTAGACAACTGAGCTGGAATCCTAGCATCATTATCACTCACTAGTCCTATGACTTTAGGCAAGCTACTGAACCTTTTAAGTTTCAGTTTCCTCTTCAAGGAAAATGTGACAAAGTTTATATCTCTGGGTGGTTTTAATGTCAAGTGCCTGCTACATGGCAGGAGCTGAATAAAGGGTAGAGCTCACCCCAGCTCCCATCCATCCATCCTTCCACTGATTCTTCACACAATAAACATAGGTGAGGCAGCAAACGCAAACAGAGCTACAACAAGGTGTGACCCACTGTCCCTGTTGAGAGTGGGACTGACAGTCCATGGGAGGTGTGGGAAGGGAGGCAAAGCCCCGATGGCAGAGCAAGTTGACTTGAATTCCTGAAAGTGCCTCAGTAAGAGGAGAGCTAACTAGATCACACCTGCACTGCAGATCTGAGATTAGATAGGAGGTGGTGAAGGAAACCCAACTGGCTTTGGGTTTCCCAGTATCCAATAACAGAGACAGTACTTCGAAAATCTTCATGCCTGCTAGATATTAGGATTATTACTATCATTAATAGCCACCTTTAGGCAATCCCTGAAGGACAGAACTGTTGACCCACTGCAGATTCCAAACTGCTCCTCCTTGGGTGGTCACTCATGATGTCCGGGGCTCTCTGTCTGTATTTCCAGAAGCTGTCCTCCCGAGAGAGCATGGTGTCAAGGGTGACATCTGGCCCAGAAGTCCCCAACTCTCCCTGGAACTCCAAACTGGCATAACTAACTCCACATAGCCACTCGGTTATCAACCAGGCGTCTCGCGCATAATAGAGAACACTTGAGTCCACCCAGCCCAAACCCTGCTTGTACAAGGAGGACAGAGCATCTTCTTCCTTCTTGACTCCTCTCCTCTCCCCCGCACAGCCCGTCTGTCAGCAAGTCCTGGCAGCTGTCCTTCCAAATCTGTCTGGAAGCCGAGCTCTTCTCTTTCTGGCTTCAGACTGCTCCCTGTCACCTGGGTCTCAGGGTGGTCCCCCATGCTACCTTTGCCCTCTGATCTGTCCTCAACTCAGCACCATGAGTGTTCTTGCAAAGCATACTTTTTGCCATTCATTCAGCAGTTTCTTACTGAGTACCTACTATGTGCTAGGCTCTAACAGCTTTGCACCTTCCTCTGAGCCTACAAGGAAGCCTTCTCTGACCTCCTCTCCTTCCCTTTTCCTTCTTGTCTCCCCTCCTCAGACCTCTCCCACAGCCCAGGCTTGCTCCCACTCCAGGTCTTTTTACTTAAGTGGGCCCCTCCCTACCTGGAAAGCTCCTCCTCCAACCCGTGGGTGGGCTTACTTCCTCACCCCCTTCAGGCTTTTCTGAGCATCCTCACCCAGTGAGGCCTTCCCCATCCACCTAATTTAACCCTATTCCTGTTTGCACTGAGAATACTCACCAGCAGCACTAGAGGCTGCAGCATTTACCCCAAAATAACTTTGCCACAAAATATCTCACGTTTATTATTCTATTCACATCATTCTGGAACACCAACTTTGAAAAACAAAAGATATCAATCTATTTACAGCATTGTGTTTTTAGTAGTGGTCTTCCCATTTACAAAATGTCGTACTTCTCGATCACTGAAAATGTCAAATCC